GATCAATAAATTATATACAAATTTCTTTTTATTTGTATTGTAAACAAAGTTCTCTGTAATTCTTTTTAATCTTAAGAAATCTTCATCTCCACGTACACACATTTATATATTTTTCTACATTCCCACTTCATACGATCTATTCAAATATTTTATTTCCATCTAACCTCTCCCCTATTTCTTCAACACCCTCGAGGCTTTAATTACACTTTGATATAAATTTACTTTTCGCACACGTGTCGTTAGTTAGAGTAGTTTTCCTCTTCAAGCCCCACAGTTTGCTAATTCCATCACACAAAGCTTTAGGCAAACACTATAAACTCCCCCTCACAACCCTTTATTGCATTCCTGTTTTAATTTTCTATTTTTTTTTTTTAGCCCCACTTCAATGGCAATAGACATTTTAAGTGGCAGCCATTTAAATGTAATTTGCCGCACATTGCAATGTGAAAATGAAATAAAGAAAAGTCTAGCTGTATCTGGTATCTATAGCTGTATCTGTATCTATCTGTATCTGTATCTGTATCTGTATCTGTATCTGTATCTGTATCTGTATCTGTATCTGTATCTGTATCTAAGGGGTTTCGCTCGTGGCTCACCTCGGTGGCGATGGTGATGGTGATGGTGTTGGGGCGAGAAATTAACGATTTCCAGTGAACGAGTGTAAATGCCAGACATGATGGCGTCGACATAGCTTTTCATTTGTTGTTGCTCGTTAGTTGTCAGGCTGCCTCCCCCTCCATTGTTTTTCCCCCTTTCCTTTTCCTTAGTTTCTAACGTCACCCGTTCATGTCTACTTCCAAGTCCGATAATGTTAATGTAATCACATCGATTAGTGTTGGAATACGTATCAGACAAAAGTTTCTTTATCCCTTCTTATGACCCCAATTTATAGTTATTATAGTTCATGAACTATAGAAAAGGAAAAGCTCAAGATATTGCCAACGGAAATGGATTTTGTTGTGAGATTTTTTATATAAATTGATTAGAGAATAGATTTTCATGGGATTAAAAAATTTAGTTTAATATTTATAAACGAAACAATACAAAATGGTGTTTTCTAAATATTCTTTCTTTGCTAGAATGAACCATTAAATTAATAAATAATGCATGAGCTTTAAAACATGGTAAAATATCTACCTAAGACTAAGGATTGTTAAGAAATTCAATAAATATATATGTATCCTTGACCCGTTTTTAAAACAAAATTGCCACTTAATAATGTCAAGACTTACCACCCTCATAATAATATAGTTAAAGACAATTTTGCATACCTAAAAAGGAAACAAAAATGTATAAATTAGTCAACCTATTGCCAAGTTATTCAAAAGTTAAAAAATACATCTATAAATAGATACACACAATACACAGACACACAAAAACTCAGACAGTATTATTTATATTTAAAAGAAAAATACAAAAAATATAAGTGGAATAATAACAAAATAAACCACGGAATCATCGAGTAGGCAATAATTTGAAATGACTTGACAAGTAATACTTGTGGAAAAAAACCCAATAAATATAAATTGTCAAAAGTGGCAGAAGAAAGACCAAGAAGAATTCCAAAATAAAGCCAAGACACTACAAAGAGAGAAATCTTCTTCAAGCCAGACAGCAGAGTAAACAAGAAGAATCTTCTTTTCCTCCGCCGATCTTCTTGGCCACAATGCACATTACACTTTAGGCCATAAAAGACTCGCCTCTGGCCTACACTTCATCACTCCTCCTTACCCGATTTAAGCCATTTCCATAAGATAATTGTTTGTGGCTATAGCTTTATTTTTTCGCTGTTCATTTCTTTCCTTTCTTCACTTGAATATTATTTTTTTGGCATGTTTTGCGGCTTTTTTTGGGTTTGGTTTGGTTTGGTTTCTTTCTTTTTTTCGGGATTTCTGTTTTGTTTCGCTTTTGTTGCTCTTGCTCTTGCTCCTCTTTTTTGTTTTGTATTTTTATTATTATTTTTTGGGCATTGTGTTTTGCTCGACTGGCTGCAAGCATTTTGTGCCAAAAATAAATGCTGACATCATCCCAAAAGCAAACCATTCAGCCGCCACAAGCAAAAACATCGGAGCTTACTTTTATTTTTATTTTTTGGTGGAAAGAACACAAGAGAAACAAGAGGCGGAGATACATTTTCAGACCCAAACTCGAAGCCCCCTCGATAAGGAGCCTCTCTCTCTCTTGAGTGAGATAAAGCCCCCAGATGATGCCTAATTGAAATTCTAATTGGTCTGCGGAGTCTGGGTGAGTTTCCAATCTCATTGCTTCCTCCCGAAAAAAGAATATAAATAAAAAATGAAAGAAATAATTGAAGATACTAAAGGGAACGCGCTTGGGCTTCTCAGATATTTTGTTGACCTTGAACTTGAGTGAGTTCTCCTCCTTTGGTCTTCGAATCTGTACAAGTTTTTTGGTCCCAGAAAGAGAGTCCAGTCAAACGTCTTTTTTACAGGCAGAAAATATCAGTTTTATGCGCTTTTTGAGTGCATTTGAGTTGCATTTTGGAGGAAGAAAAAAGGAAACCAAAGTACAAAAGATTTTTAAATACCATTTGAGGCAACTGTACTGGGTTTTAAAAGCGAAATATTAAACTTTACTCAAAAGAAATGAGGTTTAATGCAAAATAGTCAATAGACATAAAAGGTGACACCTAATTTTAATGAAATGAATGTTAATGGTTATAACTTTCTTAAAAAAAAAATTTCTGGGGATAAGTTTTATTTTTATGGAGGACCATTACCTAGAATTTTTATTATATTTTTATATTATTAAATTTTATTATATTATATTATTAAATTTTATATTTTATATTATTAAATTTTTCCCTTACTAAGGTAGAAACATTTGCAATACATTTTATTTTATTTTATATTACAAACCAAACTTTCTTCTTACTATTATATTAGCATTTATTTCTTCTTCGGATATTAAGCTACACATATTACCTTTCGTAATCTAAAAGAAAAAGCTTGTTTAAAGAGAATAACAATTATCAAGATTAGTTTTAATTAGGGGAAATACCCACATTCATTTCCCTTGAAAGATAGAGTAAAAAGCAACACAATTTCCTGATTAATCATCCACAAAGTACTGATACTTCACTCCTTTTAAAGCATAAATTAAGTGCCAGCTTTGATCTTTACAAGTGAATCACAAGTGAAGTGAGTCACTAGAGTAATTATAAGAAAACGCACAACTACTTTCAAATAGTTATCTCAAAAAGCTTTGCTCATCTTCGGATAAACTAAATTCCTTAAAATGAGTTTCAATAGCAATTGCGTCATATGAATTGTATATTAATTCTAAAATTCCGTAGGAATTCCTTGCGAATTTCTTTGTGCGACAAAAAATGTTATTTATTAGGCTTTGGCAGGCCCCCTTAAAAAATATGTGTTTGAACTTGTCTCTCATGGATACCTCTAATTTACTGCGCCATTCAGTTTCCCCCAAACAAAGCCTCGCCTTTGTGGGGGTCTCCATATTTACTTGTTTTTGTTATTGGGGAGAGAACTACTACCCAGGGAGACCCTTTTTCACTTTTCTGCGCAGTGGCCAGGAAATTGCGTTGTGGCCACCTCAAGGGAATTGCTTTTTTATTGCTTATGAGGCTACAAATGCTAACGCATCATCGTCGTCATCGCCATCATCATTGAGAAATAAATGCACGAAAACGCGAAACAAGAATTACAAGAGAAGTCGAGTTTTAGGAATGACATCATTTTGAGAACCCAAAGAAACCACAACAAAAAATAAATAAATTCGCACAAGTTTTAAATGCGTCGAGAGTTGCGTTGATTGAATAGTTTTTGAGGGTGAAGAGTGTAGAAGGGGTCTTCCTTCCTTCCTTTCTTCGAACGTAAATTGGTTTTGTATAATTAAGCAAAAAGCAGGGAATAAATGCGAAAAGAAACCTTTAGGGCAACCTTGTGACTGGATTATAAATGGCTTTGGACCACGAAAGCGATGCACATTTTTTGTGATTGCCTTCGTGAATCACCTGTCGAATGACGTAACCTGATCGAAGGATAATGATTTGGCAAATTGATATGGGAATGTATCTTATATTTGAAGAATATATAATTTGAAAAGGTTCTGTCATAAATAAAAAGGGGCCTAAGCTAAGCAATAGGAATTAATGGAAATCTTACTTTGATTGATAAATTATATCTTAAAACAATAAAGGAATTCTTAATAATAGGTTAAAGATTTCCTCATTCAAGGGTTTTATTTGGTTAGGTTCCGTTTTAGTGGGATCAGAATTTCAATATTAATATTAAAGACTTTAATTTAATATATATAGAAATTTTGTATTAAATTTGGAATTAAATCATGCTTAAATATTGAAATTACAATCACCAAAGTTAATACATGCCGATTATAAAATAAATTAAAACATGGATTTAGAGTTGTATATTGAAAGGAAATATATAATATCCTATTGAAAAAAATTATACTTTTATATAGAATGTTAAATATCAACCGTTTTATATTTAAAATATGTATATATGTATAAAAAATATGGCACATATATCAACACTTGACACTGACTTCCCTGATTGTAAAGTTTCAAAAATATTTTAACTTCTGTAGAGTCTTAAACAAAAGTTAGTAAAAGGTATGGACAATTCCAAAATAATGCCAAGATCCATAGGAGAAAAATGTTAAACATATTTATACCATATTTTTTCTTATATAAAACTATGTTTTAGTTAGGAATTCAAACAATTTCGAAGTGTTTTTAAACCGAGATTCAGAAGATTCCTCTTTTAAACTGATTCCAAAAGTTAGACTAGAAAACTTAAAAATTTCATGAAAAATGTTATATTTAGCTTCCTCCAACTAATGAATTTTTCAATTATTACCATTAGAAATGTAAAATCCCACCCTGGAAAAAGATGCAACACGAAACATTCAGCGTGCAACAAATACGGGGCAAACAGCAAGCGGTTAGAACACCAAATAACATTGAGAGGAAAGGACAAAGATTGGAAGACATTTTCTTAGGGGGAATTTAAAGCAGGCCGCAACCAGGAAAAGGATGGCGGAACCGACCTGTTGCAAGGAGTGGCCAATCCCATCTGCTGTGCATCACCGCAAGTGGCAGCCGCAGCAACGGCGGCAAGAACGCTGGCACACTCCAGCGGCGATCGTGTTTTGGGCACTTGCAAACGCTGGAAGGCAGGATCATAGCTGAAGGATATGCGGGAACTGGGGCCAGGATGTCCTGCTGGCATTCCGGACATCTGTGCCGATGATGACAGCGAGGATGTCTCCGGTGAACTGGCATAGAACGGTGAGTGTGGATAGGCATAGATCGAGGGACTGGCACTGAAAGCAGCTGCCGCCGCCGCTGAATTAATACCCGTGGCAATCCTTCCAGGATGGGGATTCAGATGTGGATGCAGTTGATGCTGTGGACTATTCCCGGCACTTGTGGGTATAGGAATCGCACGACTCGCTCCTGTGCGGGTATATAGTGTTGGTGAAAACTGATCAATTGCCTCCTCGTAATCCTCATCGGTGCTGGAACCCATGTACAGATTCGTATCACTGGCTCGGGCATTATGATTCGGATTCGTTGGCCACAAGGATTCGTCCACGCAGAAGGAACTTCTCCCCGACTGGGATTTGTTGTAGTAATAAAGCTGTGGGTTCAGGCGATGCATAAAGGCGCCGGGATCAACACTGAGTCCTCCGGCTCCTAATCCTCCTCCAACTCCTCCGATAATTCCAATGTGAGGATTACTAAAGGCCCGCTTCCTATTGCCACCAGGTATTGCGGAGGTGATAAAGCTGGGGTTTTGTTTTGGATTTTGGATACGTTTTCGGTTTCGATTTTTGGAAAGCAAAAAGGTTTTGCGCGCGCAAATAAAACAAAAAATAATATGTAAAAAAAAGAATATAGTTTTGAGAGAGGTGAAAGAAGCTTTTTTAGATAAATATTTATATATATTTTCCATTAGTTTTTCATTGCTGATTTTTCTCCAATTGAAATTAATATATAAATTTGATATATTTTTTGGGGTTTTTTGGGGGTGAGAAGGATTCGGTGCCGGGCAACAAAAGTCGATTTGATGTTGCTTCAATGAAGTGAGAGTTCGAGATGCGATTCGAAAGTGATTCGTTTTGGTGATCGGTGAAGAATCTGGTGAAGAATGCTTCTTTGTGGCACGATATCGGTGTGTTTTTCCTTTGTGTATATTTTGCTATCCATACATCTTTAGTATTGCCAATCTATTTTTCAATTTCCAATTTATTTTTTAAGAAAAGATGATTTATGATCTTGAACATAAAAGGTGGAGTGATTATATTGCTTTCCTTCCTCTCAAATCACTGAATTTTAATGTGGAAATCAAGATTGTGATAGAAACTTGTTTAAAATTCATATTTTTGTGAGGCAGGAGGAGCCACTCAGAAGGGTTCCTTAGCTTTCAAAAGCTAATTCCTTTAAGTTTTAAATATATAATGGCAGCTTGTTCATAAAAAAGAGCTTGTGAACTTGGAAAATTACAACCATTTAGAGTTCTTACGCCTGAAGAAGAGCTAAATCAAATCTAGATATAGTCCGGAACCAACAACTTGCTTGAATAAACAAACCTTTCAGGATAGTTCACTATATTAAGATCACAATCCATCAATAATTCTCAACCATTCAGTACAAATATTATCTAAAAAATACAACATCAACCTTTTCACATTTAATTTACACATTAAGATACCCCCCTGAATCTTTTTTAAAATCTCAGAAAAAAAGAGTGTAAACTGAAAACAAGAAAAGCCCACTCAATTTCCACTTGATTTACGGCAAGACAACAACAAACAACATAGCCACATAGAGAAAATTATGATGCAACACATTTGCGGCAGCAACGTGTCGATGCGCTCCAGTTCTCAGCATAAACAACTCCCCCTCCCAGACAGCAAAGCAGCAAAAACAGCAAGCTGCAACACATGATGGATGTGGCATGCCACATGCAATTTATGCCTCGAAAATGAAAACTGGCAAAAAGGGGAAAAAAAATATAACAAAAAACTAAATAAAACCAGAGAAAGATCAACCATTTTGTCAATTACGTTGTTGCCAATTAATCTCCTTAAATAGAGTACATTTCCTTTGGGATTTGTTTGATCTTTTTCTTTTGCTTCAGTAGCAAAGTGACGAAAGCAACAAAGTTTGGTTTTAGTTTGATAATAAATAATGCATTTCCGGTGTGGAAATTCGAAGAAATCAGACAAGAGAAGCTACAAGAAAAAGTTTGTATACTTCCTATAAAAAATAAATGCAACTTTTGTAAGAACCCAAAGTCTACAGGTATTTTTTGTAACTCTGCAGAGTTTGTGTTGCTGCCGTGGGCAAAAATCAACAATAACAAATGAAGTGTAAAGAAAAAAAAAATAGGAAAGAGAACAACATTCAACCAAAAAATTCAGCTGCAGTCTAGCCGCATTGGGAAAATGCGCTTTTCCTCCTTGATTATCCCCCTTTGGAAAATTCTGTTGCTGCCGGTTTTGGGTTTTGCGGTTTCCTTATTTTATTTTTTCAACTGCAGCAGAAAGTTGTGTCTTTAATTGTTAATTTTCAGTTTTATGGAACTTTGTCTGTTCTTTACAACTGTAAAAATTAAACTTTTAAAAAGGCAGCAACATTTTATTTCCGGGTCAAAAGGAAGTTAAGAGGAACTATAAAAAGTGGGAATCAAGATTGCAGAAAAAGAAAGAGTACAAAATCAGTTAATTAAGTAAAGAGAAAATATGGGTAAAAATATAATTAATAATTTCCTAATTAATACAAAATATTTTTTGAAAAGGAAATCTCTATAAAACCAAGTTTTCATAAACTTCAACCTTTTTCCTCGCATTTTAAAATGTTTTTTTCAGGAAATGACTTTAAAATAATTATTAAAAAAATATTTTCACACATTCGTAATGCGCTTTCTTGTGAGTTTATTTGTGAGGCTTTCTCCAATTTACTAAAATCTCTTCCAATGAAAAAAAAAACGTAGTGTCATCCTTTCAACAACTCAACAACTGAGTTGCCATCATCCTTTTCTTTGTTGAATTTCACATCTTGCATAATGGCAAAGTAGGAAAATTAGCATAAAATGAACAAATGAACAAAAAAATGAGACAAAAAAAGCACGACCCTGTGTGAAAAACTATGGAAAACTATGACCAAAGAGCTGTCGAGTGCAATTTTGTTGTTATTTTCGTTTTTTATAACATTTTTTTTGTTGTTGTTGTGGTTATTGTGACCTGGGCTTGCATTGTTAAGGCAGCAACAAATTAAATGCACATTACATGCAGCGGCAGCGGCTGCCTCAGCAGCATTTCCCTCCGCATTTTCATTTACCATTGTGTTTTTCCTCTGCTCAGTATGTCGCCCAACAACAACAGCAAAAAAAAATCCAACAAGGAAATAAAAGTTTTCCACAAAAATAAAAAATAATTGAGAGAAAAACAACAATTTGCTGTTTGTTTTTGGGGAAAATTAGGTGAATGGAGCTCAGCTGAAAGAAAAACTGCTGCCGAGCGAGAGGGAAAAATGCCAAATCGGGAGCCTCGAAAACTTCGATCCGAGAGATAAGACCATCAACAAAAAATCGTTGAAAAGAAATTTTCCAGTCGGATTTTGTAGGAGCGGAGAGCGGGGGTATAAATTAATCGCTTTGCCGTTTTGTTTTTTCGCAGTTAAGTTTATCGGTGAATTTTCATCGCTTTTTACCTTGCACTCAAGCCAAGCCAAGTTGAAATTTATTTGCAAATTGTTTTTCTTGACCATTTCTATACTCGTGTGTATTTACGTAATTTTGGTTGTTGTTTTGCGGTTTTAATTCGGAAATTCGGCAGTTTGATTTGACAGCACAATTAGCTTGAAAGGACAGACAGACAGAGCAGAAAAAGGATTGCGCAAGCGAGGTAGAAGAGAAAGAAAAGTCAATGGAAAACTTGAAGAAAATTATGGGACAATGAAAAATTTAAAAAGAAATTTTGAAGATATTTAAGTAGCATTTAACTTTATACTTATGTAAGCTATATATTTAAGCTTTAAAATGTAAGCTATTTATTTCCAGAGAAAATATATTTGAATTTATTTTTTGTATATGAAGTTGAGTAAAGGTTTCACCCTTCAATTTGTATCCTCTTTCTAATAAATTATAGTTATATAATTATTATATTATATAATTAGTTCTCATTCCTAATTTATTATTTTAGCTCTCAATTTAATTTAAATAATTTAAAATCTGACAATTACTAACAAGTTTAAAGGTAATTTCATATAGTTTCCTTTCCACATGTTTATCAAAACTATAACTTCTGATTTATGTGTGTGTTTCAGGCAGAACTTTATTTACAAAGTTAGTTTGAGATGCATGAATAAATCATTTAAATTATTTAGATGCATGGTCAGACAGGGACAGCGATAAACACAGACAGAGATAGAGAGATAGGGTGAAATAGGAAAATAGAGTGAGTTAGGAAGATAGAGTAGAATGCATGTTCTGTTGATGAAAAGGCAGAGGGGGGAAAATGAAAGGTACTCACATTCACACATAAATAAAAGAAACCGGATTTAAAGTTGTCTTTTGTGGCTTACCTGCAAAGAAGAGGAAAAACATTTATTAGTTAATTAATTTATAAATCCATAAATACCTACTTATAGTTAAATTTTACATATGTTAAAAAAGTGTAAAAATTAAATTCCCCAATGTACTCTGCTTTGCTTTATATTTAAAATGTGTAAGCAGTTCATACACTGCTTTTCACAAGCAGTTGAATCACGTTAACACGATTAAACCGTAAGAGGGCGCCTTTGCCGCCTGTGAATTGCACTGCTTTATACAACTATAGTCTTAAATCAATGGTTTTAAAATTCTATAGCAAAGCAGTATGATTTTTAAACGGTAGAGCAAAGAACAATTAAGCTCAAACTGTATTGCAAGCAGTAGGAGTTAAATGTAATGTTCAAGTAAAATATGATGATGTTTCGTGTACACCTGTAAAATACATTAGAGTATCTGTAAAACTTGTCTTCAGTTGATTTTATATTTTAACGAAGCTCTTTATTATTATTTGGTGGATGTTCGATTGTATTCAAGTTTGCAGCATTTATTTTTTCAATATTTAACTGACCATAATTAGAAATTTTAATTAATATTATATATAAATATAAACTTAATATGATATTTTATAATTTAAGGGATTTTATATTGTTTACAAGTACTTTCATTTTGAATGGAAATATACGATTTAAAAAGTATTTAAAGAATAATAAATAAAAGTAAACAACAAAAGCGCAACGCAATACAAAAATTGCTTGTATTTTGTTGCCGCAGATTTTCTGCTCTCTTTAATTATTGTTTTCTTATTATTTATTAATTTTTTTTTTCAAGCGCAATAACGAAAATTGGCAACAAATACAAAGAAGGCGATAATGTGCAATGCACAAAAGCAATCAATAACAATATAAAAAGAGATGGCAATAAGAAGGAGGGTAAGCAAGACAGAGAGCGAGAGAAGCCAGAAAACAATAACAAAACAAAAATCAAAACAGACGACAATAGAATGCAATTAGAAGACGCAGATAAAGAGAGAGAGAGGAGCACAGAGATAAAGAGTGTGAGCGAGAGAGGAAACAAATATAATTCACGTGTGTAAAAGCGAATCGTTGTAAGAGAGTAAAGCGAAGGCAGCGAGAGCGAAGAATTCTTCCAAGTGATAAGCCCCCTCTCACGCTCTTCTGGTCTCTCTCTCTCCCTCTCTCTGAGAATCGATTGAGTATTTGTCGCATTTGT